CAAATCACGGGGTATATCCTAGGGACCAAAATTGTAGTGCAAGGGTTGTTGCTAGCCAGGGATCGTGCACGAGCAGCTGAACGTACCACGATGGAGTGCCAGATGATATGGGTCCTTTACCACTGGCCTTCAGCCAGATAGTTCGACCTAAAGGTTGGAGGTCAAAATCCGATGCTGAGTGATTAATGCTGTGAGCTAACAATTCTGGTGAGTTACTTACCGCTACAGGCGTACAGTAAGATGAATCTCATAAACCCTGAAAATTTTTATTGCCTTTCAAATTCTGTGGTGAAAATAAAAACTATTCCAAGGGGTGTCTCTTTTCCTTGGGCTTATTGCATCAATTGACTATTTGTGAAACTTTTCGGAATAACTTAGTACTTGTCAGTTAAATTTCAGTTAAATAAGTCATATTCTCAGATTGTTGGATGTTGTTGACTCGGTATGTGTACAACACACTGACCGTAAATTTGAGGAAGCATGCTAGGAATGCATAAACTTACCTATCCTAAGAACCGTTTCGGACTTGGTGTAGGACGAATGGTCAGGTATATGGGCATCGATCCTATCAGGAAATAAACAGCCTCATCACCGTGAGGATCTCAATTCATGGAAAAATTATCAAGTTATTCTGTGCTGGAATCTCGGTGGGTGAATCACTCCTTTCAGTGAAAGCCCAAGGAAAGCTACTCAGCCGAGGTATAGTCTTCCAATGGCAGTAAAAGTAAAGGTAAGGGCACAGAACATCCACACCATGCCCGAGGCTGGCAAAGCTGCTCACAAAGCAAAAGAAATGAGATGTGTTATGGAAGCTAGAGGAATCCGTGGCAGCAGATTCTACGGGGTGGAATCTGCCGGTTGTCAGATGGAAAGTTAGTAATCTACTCCAATCACCCAAAGGGTAGCCATCAGCACCTTGTGAATGCGACCATGTTGTTGTGATGAAATAAATCAAGGGACTAGTGGAAGACACTTTCCTTCAGGATCGGGACTACAAGATTCAACTCAAAGAGAAGGAAAGTAACAATTAGGCAGTGCTACTCACCTACTAACAACGCACCACAATGGGAAAAGAAATTTCTAGCGACATATGCCAGCGATAGTTGGTACGATCCGAGGTGGTTGGGGACAGCAGAATTCTAATGGGCTATATGAACGGACAACTGGGGACATGACGAATAATCAAAATGTGGTCGTCAGTTATCTGAGATCATAAAGTCGAAGAAGCTTGTGAGCTTATCCGAAGTAAGCCGAAGTCAACATGCATCGAGATGTGCTCGGGAAATAAATGAGAGTCAGCAGCTATTTGCAGATCTCTGAGCCTTTGATCATTTGGAAACTGGATGAAGCGTATGGAAAGCACAATGATACTACAGGACGACAAGTATCTCACCAGACGAACACATCAAAATTTGAGAGAGATTTCACCATAACTACTAGAAATTTCAGTCGCAACTTACTGGACTGTCAAAACTCCGTTGACAATTTTTTATAACTGAGGTGAACTGAATAAAACCATTACTAGCGTGTTATGTCCGCGCCTGCTAATTTCCATAACTGTAGTGAATTTGACTGGTACGCTAATACATCCATTTATCCATTGTACTTTACGACTAACTGAGCCACGAAAATATCAAAAGACAAAGGCTGGCATGTGAATGTATGATATTGTATCATATATCTAATAGGAAACAAAACATATTTGTGTATTTAATTTTTATCACAACAGAGTTGGCTCACAAGATATTGTATTGTAACGTATAGATTAAGAAACAATGTATGATATTTATACATGTTCCTAACTGCAATAAAGTCGGCTTATAACCGTTGGAATAGATTTTTCTTATTGGCTGGAAATGTCTATTCTGATTATTTGATGGTCCGACAGAGACGAGGTGAGACAAAAGATGAATTGATCGCGCACTAAATCACAATATGCGTGAGAAGTGATACGTTTGCGTAGTAATTCCATCACAAGATAAATCACATGATTCGTGAGGAAGGATGATATACCGTGTTGGGTCCTATCATGAACGCAATATCAAGAAGAAGATCAAATGTGGGTTCAGAGCAGTGCCTAGTGCAGGGAACCCTAAATATCAGGCTGAAAGCCGTCAAAAGACTTTGACACTAACCACAACGCAAATCCACAGCTGACAAACACAACCTCCCTGGGAAAACACTTGAGAACTCTTGACGTGAGGTTTAAAGAAACCTACGCCGATATTTAATAAGAGAAGGAGCTAATGAGGGAGAGGATGGTGAAACAGGAGTTGAATTGTCCCACGAAAGAGCAACGAAGGAAGCAAAGTACAACTTAAAGAATCCTGAGCAAAGGAGTGAAGGTATTTTGTAAGAAGAACAAAGGAGGTTACAATAGTACACTGAAATCTGAACAGGAACAAACTAGAGGTAGTAGAGTCCCCATAACATAAGGTCAGATAGCCAGGTTTGTTTGAATTAATAATATCTGTCGGCTGCCTCCGCACCCGTCTCTCTCAGGGTTCTATTCTGCCTTCTCTTTCGAAGGTACTGCATTGGAGCACTGCAAATGCACACTATTACCACCTTCCACCTTTACATTACTTGAACGGAGTTTTGTAATCACTACAGCCTACATATGGTAGACATTCAGAATATTGTTAGCACATATGATGAACAACGGAACAACCCCTATCATGAAACCTGTTTATTGCTAATACCAAAATTATGCTTTACTTAGTGTCTATCAAGGAGTTTAATAAATTTTTAAACCCTTATTAATTGATTAAATGATAATGATTGTAGGTTCTGTTTCCTGTGTGTCCTGCTCTAGCACCGGTGTACCATGCTTCTTTTTACCTTCCATAACACAAACTTTTGCGATTCCCGCGCGAAGTTGACTGATTATACGTACATTAACGATTAAAATTTAGATTTAAACCAATATCTTACAACTTACTTGAATAAAAGTAACCGTTATGAAATTCCTATATAATTTCTAGAACATCACTCCATTTTTTTCATTTTATGTCATAAAACAGTGTTCAGCGTAAAATTGCACTTGTCAAATGTGATCATGCATAGGCAAACGGTATGTCAATCTTGCAAATCCTTTATTTATGTGAATGAAATATTATCACTGTCACTCTTCGGGATAAGATTAACGCAGATGTTGGTAGTGAAAACTACTGGGGGAAACCCACTTTGCAGAAGGTTGGAAAGTGAAAGTGTTGCGATGATAACTTCATAGGATTCTTGAGTTAACCACCATATAGAACTTCACAAATAACAGCAGGAGTCCCTGTGAAAATCAAAGTCGAAGTTTTGGAGGCTGTGAGGTCAGTAACAGTTGGGAAAAGTTGCGGCCTGATGAATTTATTTTAGAAGTACTGAAGAAGAAGAAAAAGTCAGGGTCGCGATGGATATGCTCACATCATTGTTGCAGAAATTGTGGAAGATCAGGCACCTGCCAAATGGGATAAGGGCTACCTTGTGAAACTACTAAAGTTTGGTATGGGGTTCCAATAGAACTGGCCCAAATCATGCTCCACTTCACCTTGAGGAAAACACCTAACCCGTTTATCCTTAGGCGAGGAAAAGATATCCGGGTGGAAGACATCACCATCTGTAACTAGCTATGCTAAATTAAAAACGAAGAATGCATGGGTCAAATTTTAGCATTAGACGTCATCATTGCTAGGATCCTTAGATAGCAGTCTACCGTTCGCTCCAGATTAATCAATCTTGAGAAGGCCTCGGGTGGCGACAGTCGCCTCAACAACTCCCTCTATCATTCACTGTATAACTCACCTTCTTGTCAAGACGTTATCCTTACACAGATTTGTGAGACATCTTTTAAGCCAGCATGTTCTACTTTGTTGGATCTTTTAAATCTTACCTTTGTCTAAACCACAATTAATACATCTCACAGTAATTTCTAGCTGAGTACCAATATTTTCCAATAAGCCCTATCTACCCAAGCTCTTTATCAGGTTAGTACATGCCTTTTATTCGTATTCCTTGCTGTCCTAGGGTTTGGTTGTGCTAAAATAAAATCACCTTGTTTGATCAACATTAGATTTCTGTTAAAAAATATAGTGTTGGTGGTAGGACAAATGTGATAAGAATTAGAAATCAAAATTGTACGTTATCATTATAAGGGTTGCATACTTGATCGTGCCTGCAAAAATGACATGCATTTTCATGTAAATTTATATGTTTATATGAAATATATACATTATTATATCGCTTTCATGCACATTTCTTTACATTGATCGGAAGCATTCATTCTCTGGACCTCTCTAACAATTTGTTGAGGTCGTCTTGTAACGTGAGCATATCACTGTTTCCCTTCATCTCTCTCTCCAGATTTTTAAGTTATCTGTGTATAGGACCGTTGGGGAATCCATGAACACGGATAAACCATTGATATACGAAATAAATGGGAGAGATTCAACTACCGTGTCTTGTTGCACCCCGCTGCCCTCTCCAGGGAGACAGTTTCAAGTTGATCCTGGACCTAAATATATCCCAACCTACTGATATAGCTGAGTAAGGAAATTACTATCTAGGCTTTGTTATGTGATGATGAACATTCCCTCGCTAAGCGTGATAGTAAACTTGATGCTGGGAATTCCACTTTAGGTGATGACTGTATGTCCACTGTCAATCGCCAAAATTCGGAAAGAATCGAATAGTTTTCAACTCCATCTTCGGCTGCACATCGTCCATATAACTTCTGAGTGTAATTTGCTTATTTTTAGAAGAAATTTAGCCTGAATTAATGAATTCATATTTTTCACATGGGGAGATTTGTGTGCTGTGTTGTTTGCCCTTTGACTTATTTGAAGTCACAACTTTGAAGTCGCTGACTAAGTTTGCTGCTGTAGAAAAGAAACTGGATATCTGAATTAGGGGAGAAATAAGTGTGGCCTTCTTTTAACGCTTTCATTTTTCGTGCGCAAACTTAGTAGCAATAACAGTGTTTAGCTGAATGAGATTCAACCGCGGGATATAGAATGGCAGCGCCAAACAGTGAGGGAAAGATGGAGAAAGGTGTGTTGTTTTTTCATTGAGATTTGGCTACAAGGTTAAATTTGCTGTATTGTGTCTGAGTTTTAGGCATAACTATTTGGCTACTTTTTCATTTTCTACAAAAGATAAACCATCCTGAAGCAAGGAATTTTTCGTCATATTAAAGTGATTTATTTCAGGTATTGGTGTTTTAGGGATTTTTTATTTGATTGGTTTAAGGACCTCATCATGAGCTGACATCAGTTGGGGAACCACAGAAAGACTCGGGAGTTGTGGACAGTTGTTTCGTCTATGTTTTGGACTCGTCGACGATACGCATCCACCACCAGGGTTCGAACGCTGGACCTGGTTACAGGACGAGCTCGTAGACCATCAAGCCACCAACACAAAACAACTCTACAGCATTCCCAATAGTTTTCTTGCTGTTGCCAGCTCATAATTTCAAGCATGTGACTGACCAATGATCAGCACTGATTATTATTCGTATTTGCCAGATTTATTTTTTACGCGTGCTCCTTTCATGTGTTATTGGCAACGGTAAAGGATAGACACCAAACCAAATGACCCTGAATCTTCCATTTATATTCTCTAAGGTGGAACGTGGCATTTATTTAGTAAAAAGTGTACTTATAAGGCATATATGTAATAAAACTGAGTCATACAGGATATATGTTCCTAAGATGCTGTAAAAACTGGTTCCAGTTTCTCACAGGAGTATCTGTAGATATATAAAGCCAGTGTGGATACTAAAGATCCAAGTGGCTGTATATATCTTATCATATCGGGAATCATTTACTATTATATAGATGCGCCCAGAATCCTATAGAATTTTATGATTTCCACTTATAGGATTACTAATTAAAAAGTATAATTGAATGCAGTTTAATGATGATAATTGCGAATAACCCTTCCATTCGAGTGTATGAACGGCAGTCCCCAGGACTAGTTGTATTATTGGTATTGGTGTTTCTCACCAAAGTGAGAGGGCGAAAGCGGATGCCCGGCGCTCTCCACCGGGTTGACTGTCCATTGGATGACGGTCTAGGGGAGATGGCTAAACCCTGATTCCAAACCTCCAACGACTGGCGTATGAAGCTCACTGGAGCTCACCGGCAGACGTATGGACAAAGGGCTTGTTGGATGTCCTGGATGTCTGGCCCCATTCAAAAAGGCGTATGAACCGAACTCCGGTCACCGGCTGCCAATGGATAGTGGACTCCTTACTCCACTCCTACTGCCTTGTAGGTCACACTTGGCTGTGTAAAGGCTAGAGCTGCACTCTCAAACAAAAGGCCGAGCGATGCTGGGGACATCACTCGTACCAAATTCCCATGAAACTTCATGAACTCTCTTACAAATTGCCGCGCCTGGGCAGCGATGATTCGAGACGTTCATGAAGCCGGCTCATCCTCCCGTAGGAGATAGCCGAAGTAAAGTAAAGTAAAAGTAAGTATTAAAACATCTAAGTGAAATTCGCAGCGAAGATTATCAACACCATTCACGTGTAATACCTAGTCGTCTTGTCGGTAGATTCAAGGTCATTTGGCTTTGGTGTGTATTATTTACTGATACTTCACCACTTGGTCGTTTGTCCGATACAGTGCATTCACATCGGTATAAGTAGATGTTTATTAAGGATGTCTGTTGTGTGCTCGACCATTGTTGCGTTAATAACTACTTAGCTTGGTGCCTGAAACTATGTTTATGGCATCATATCCACTACTCTACCCTACCTGTAAAAGTCACGTAGGCCCACGCCACATGACGTAATTTTCGAGATTTCTAAATTCCATTTGTGCAGATGCAGAAAAACTGATGTAAATGAGATAGTTAAATTTACAGCTATTTGAACATCGGGAAAAGAATCCTTCGAGTGTCGAAATATGAAAAGACTCACGTGTGATAGGAGTACTGGTGTCTTGAATCCCAAATACGATGGGCCGTATGAACCACTAGGAGTATCTTCGTGTTTCGTTGGAGTTTTCCGGTCACTGATTGAAACACCAGTTAAGTTAGCTACATCTCTTTACGTAACCAAAACAATCTCGATAACAGCCCTTATTTCTTTGGAAGATACTGTAGATAGGCGTACGTAGCACACTAGTCCCGATTCTAGACGTACTGCTACATTTGTGTAGCTCCTGATACTATTCGTCATCAACTTTGATCCCCTTCGCGTTAAGGAGTGACTCATGTGACATCTAATTCCGTTTACAGTGTTACATATTGTTTCATTGGATTCATGTGTAGAGAATTTTAAATTTCGTAAAATTAAACTGTTGCGCACTTTTGAAGGTGTAATCTTGTCCCCCTCTGAATTGGCGCGATATACTTGCTCGTATTCGAGCGTAGTAGCTTACTAGAGACACTATGCCCTCCTCTTCAGACTACCATCAAGCTGCGAGGTCTGTATTGGTGACAGTTCCAAATTTATCCACTACATAGTTAACTATTTCTTAACACTATAATAAAGGAGCAATCTTTCTCATTACGTTATCGCAAAGGTGAGGGTTGGATGTGAGGATAGCAACCCCATCCCTTAAAATAAAGCCGCTGCCACTGAAACTTCATAGCTGTTGCTTGAAGTCGTATATTCCACTCTGTTAGGAAAGAAGTTTTCGTCATCCTATGTTTCAGTCGTTACCTTGAGGAAATGCATTCAATGAGTCGTTTGTATTCTTAAAGACACCTATATTTCTACTGTTAACTGTTATTACATCTCTATGAGCACTGATAAGGATGAACGACGTATCTTGCATGTGAACTCTGAATGGTTATTTGACTTTTTTTTCTGTTTTACAGTGATTACAATAGATCTAGGTATGGTGGCATGTCGAACAGATTTGGTGAACGAGTGTTTTAAAGGATACTTGTTTTTACCACTTCATTATCCGTAATAAGATTAGGTTTTGTGTCTTTGTTCTAATAGTTGGTTTTTAATGGGTTTTTATGGCAGTAGCTTTCCCATAGTTGGTCAGCACTGATTCTGACCCATGCAGTAAACTATGTAGTAGAACATAAATTCTACTTCGTATTAAAACCATTGTTTCACCCTAATAGATAAAGAGTAACTACATATAAGATATAATTAAATTAATGGGTCACTCCTTCTCTGATTGACGAAAACACCAAGTCTGCGCGGAAATTTCTCAACTCTCACGAACAAACATGGCTAGTTATTGTGTCATCTTAGTAACAATGAACACATCTAAATTTGACATCAATGAAAGCCATTCGGTCCAACAAATGTTTGATTGATGCTGAAGGGCATGTAGATAAGTTTCGTGCCTGAAGACCTCAGACAACCAAATTTATTTTATGCAAAATACTTCCTCGGCATGAACAGTCGATTTTTCACCAATCAGCTATTAGCTGAATACTAATTTGGTATGGCAAGTGGTGTAAAGTCATTAGGTTATTTCACCTGTTAATAATTCATAGTGATCTGCATCGTAAGACATTTTTTGTCGAAAAAGTCGGCACAATTTTCATCGAGGAATAATGGTGTTCAGTAACTAATGGAGTTCAATTAGTTGTTCTGTAGGCATGGATTATAAAGAAACATGTAGCCGACACATTTGCGTATCCTGATTGGTTGAAAACTAGCCTGATATCTGATTATCTGGTGTTTTATTGGAATTCTAAGTACAACTAGTATTTAAGTCGATTAGATTACTCAAGAGAAAACTAAGATGTATACTCAACTATATCTAAGTTACTGATCGTAGTGCCTTGCAGTGGTCATTGTCCTAGTTAATGTATTGAATTATTTGATAACCAAGATAACCTTGGTTAGTACTGGGGTAAAAACTGTTCCACTAGATGACTTCAACATTTGCTGAATAAGGTATAGCGTAGAAAGACGTTAGAGTTAGTTAGTCTAAATTGTCGTACATCTAGCACAATTAATGCGGCACTAGATGAGGGGGCTTTGGTAGCCAATTAATTTATAAATGCGGTGATAAGGACAGGCTTTACTTCCGTCCTGAAATCATAAGTGTGTGTCACAGGCCTTAAAGTGAAGTCTATGTTTATTAGACTACGTCGCACCGTTTCGATATTCAAGTTAGCATCTTCGAAATACCATAAACCAGTATGTTGTATGTCTCGAAGCCAGGCGAAAAACCGTGATTCTCATTATTTCCTTTTATGTAATTTAAATTCTTTACTGCGCCTCGTAGCCGTCTTTATTTTGAACATACATTAATTTATTTCCAACTATTGGTTTCTCCCAGCACACGCATAAAATGTGTGAACTTTGCATCATGCTCAGTATTGTTGTCAGTGTTTTAGGAATTAAGCGAATTCAATGGATATTTGGATACACACATAGTATCCAAATTGAAGCTTAGAACAAGTTAATTTATTGATTTGTCGATCGCATTCACTGTTAGAGCACTGAGTATTAACGAAGTCACTAGAACGTTTGTTGATATTGTTTATGAGGTAATGGTGCTAACTATTTGTCAAGACTAAAGTAGTTGGAGTGAATCTCGAACCTCAGACTCACCAGCTAAAATTCAAGTGTTAAGGTCAACTAATTACGTCTTCACTGAGTACCAACTAGTTTATAGTTGTTTAGTGAGTTCTTTACTCTTTCCACCAAAGATATTTGTGTATCTAACGTTACTGTATTCTGAGATGAATGACAAGATCAGCGAGCTGCTCCTCTGCTTTATCAACCATATATTATTTGCGATATATTGTCACTCGTTCTCTAAACCATAGGTCACGCTACCACAGTAACATTTCAGACACAATTATATTTCAACAGACTCGTGATTTGCCGTTATGATCTGCCAGGGTTATTCAAGGTAAAAAAGCTCAAGCGGATTCACTTATGTATGCCTAGTGTTTATTTCAACTTACCTTTTTTCTGCGTTAAAACATATGGTTTGTCAAATCTAGTCATTATATACTGTTACAGACTCATCTACAACCCCACGAGCTGTCTAGAGTATCACTGAGTACAGTGAACACTAGCTTGGTTTTATCGTTAAGTAGTTTAAAATCTAGTATTCAGTAAGTTTTAAGGAAATATACATCAATTCCTTCTTGACTTCGCCTGTTTTTCTATTATTTCCTTAGTAAGGTTAGTTTTATGCATTCAGTCAATCTCCGCTTTGTTCATGGTTTGTCTTTGTGGTATTAGTATTCTGCCGTCATTTTACTTGTTATTTGAATTCATGTGTCTAATAGTATTTTGAATTTTTAGTTTGCGTCCCTAGGAATTTTTATCTTCTTGATGAACTAGAGCAAGGGCAAAAAGGACCTCAGGAAGGCAGTATTAGTTGGGGATTAGAAAATATGGGTGACGCCACGCTTACAAAGTGGAATGGAATGATACTTGGTCCAACGCGCACTCCTTTTGAAAATCGAATTTACGATTTGAGGATCGAATGTGGACCCAAGTATCCAGATGTACCTCCTACCGTTAGGTAAGATGATTCTAATAAACTTTACTAGTCTTTTCTCCAAATCATTAAATTATGTCACTATATTGATTGGAGGATTTCGTTATGAGCTGACATCAGTTGGAGAACCATTGGAAAACCTGGGAGTGCTGGATAGCTTTTTCGTCCTAGTTTGGGTCTCTTCATCAGTACGCACCCCGGGTTTTGAACCCAGGACCTTCTGGTTGAATACTTGAAAAATCTGTCACTATATGCAATTATTTTTTAAGTTTTATTTTAACATAGGTATGATCTATTGCAACTTAGATACCATTCATAATACCGCTCACTTACCTGGCAAATATGTTTTTATGTTCTAGGATGATCTTTGGACATCTGTGTATGGTTACGTGTGAGATCTTTTGACACTACGTAGCTGTCCAGGGGGAAGTAAGTGAAAAAGTTTACAATCGAAACTCTGTGTGAAAGTTAAGTTCGCAAGCAATTGAATAACAACTACAAGTGCTGTTGACATGTACCACTTCATTTTTATCAGATTATTGCAAAATAAAGTAGTTTAAAACACCGGATTTTCTAAGTCGATCTCACCTTGAATTTACATTAAATTTAATACCTGGTTGGCCTTTGTACAGTCGCTTATCATTTTTGTTTTGTTCAGGTTTGTGACGAAAATTCGCATGCATGGTGTAAATGAAAATACTGGCGAGGTAAGAAATTTATATATATATATATATATATATAGAACGTGGACTATTGCACTTTTGTGCAGAGTTTTATGTTGAAAATTAAGTCCAGATCATTGTTTTGGTGTAAATTTACTACACTATGAATAGGCCGTAAGACGAAAACGTACTGCTTTCAATGAGATATATGTCGGTATAAGGATGTTTCGCATGACATTTAGCAAGTTAATTACGCTATCCCCATTTTGAAGGAGTTTTAAATGTATTCAGTACCAGGAAATGTACATCTCATCTGACGGCAGGTCATAAGCCAAGAAAAGCGCTCCAGATTGACCAAGTCTAAAAATTCTACCATCTTAAGAAAACTTCCTCAGGGTACTGCTGTTATGCAATTTTTTTCAAAGAACTCAACTCGACAGTTTGAGAAGCCAGAAATAACCAACTGATCACACTTTAATCAGAATACAACGTTCTTTGGTTTGTTACTTACACTTAATTATTTCCACAATTTCAAACTCTACTATCTATCCCCACCGTTAATAATATACTCCGTAACAGTGGACGTGGCTCGTAAGCTTGAGTACCTAACGTTTAGCCATTGAGTCCATGGCTGGCATCTCACCTTACCTAATTCCGCCTGGCAAATAAGTAGTATCATCATGCCCATACAACAAGTGTCCCTCGTAGCCTGAAAAATGAGATTTGTTCCAAGCAGCTGACTCCTATCAAACTTCGTGGATGCCCAATATTATCATTTCTAAAACTTTTACAAATGTATCGATGGATGTAAAGAGGAGTTTCTAGAACCTCTCCAATTAAATATGAGGATATTGTGCTGTGACTTCAAACGTGTTTAGGAACGTCGGTGGCACAGTGGTTAGGACTCTCGCCGACCATGTACATGGTCCGGGGTTCGAGGTCGCACCGACGCACACCTGGTATCTATGGTCGGCCTGCAAAATTTGGGCTACCGATATCCATGCTGAAAATTCCATAGTTGTACCGAAAATACAGTGTGGAATCAAGCTGTAAATCAAAAATAAAATAAAACTACCTAGTACATAGGTTTCATTGCCTTGGTTGTTCAGTGGTAGAATGCTCGCCAACCACTCACGTGGTCCGGGATTCAGTTCCCGACAGGCGCACACCTTTACCGTTTGTAAGATTGACAAAAAGGGAAAGTTGACCATGAGATAAGAAACCCTCCCCCGTAAATAAGCACTGCTACTGAAACTCCAAATCTCTTGCTTGAATCCCTATGTTCCACTGGGGGGCGTACAGGAATTAAAGAGAATAATATAGGTTTATGTGATACTCCTGTGCAAGGTTTTACGTTGAAACTGAGTCACTAAGTCAGTGTCCGTCGTCAGGAACTCAGTAATTATCCAAAAATTTAGAAAATGAATGTAACGTCAGTGTTATCTAGATTGATAATAGTACTCATGGCTGGTAGTTTGTATTATTCAATAGCCTATCAAAGTTACTCAATCTGAATCAAATTAGTTGTAAATATGTGGTCTCTGTTGATGGGAGCCTAAATTCAATCAACTGCGTCTATTGTGAAGTTGTTTACTCTACAAAGTACAATTTTAACTAGTGACAGTTTGGAAATACTTTAGTTATCTGATAAATAAATCTCTTCGTGTATATCATATTTCCCCTATTTTGAACCCTTTTAACGTAAGCAGTATTGATTACTGGCATTAAGCAGCAATATGTCACTCAGTGTCGTTCAGTGCCATCGTTCACGTCTCGATAATACTGTGATCTCAAGTAAATAACTGCAAGCCGATAAAAAAATTGAGCACTAATGATTTTGTCAGTGCAGTAAAAGTAGATATTCTTATTGCACGTCAACCCTTAAATAGACGAGCGTCATATTGCATCAGTTCGAGTTGTTTTACGTTCGCTTAGTACGTAAAGATTAACTGAACAGAAGAAAGTACATATAAAGGCACCTAAACTACAGAGACTGTGTCAGTGTAGTATTAGTCGATGTTGATATGCTTTATATCTACACCAAGTGAAATTTCGCGTCGGTGGTTCAGTGGTAGAACACTTGCCAATCAAGCACGTGGTTCGATCCCTGGCTGACGCACCCCTACACCTCGCTAAGCTAGTAGTAAGGCCGGTAAAGAGTGAGGGTTGGTTGTGAGGCTAGCAACTTTACCCCGTTAAAAAACCCACTGCTACCGAAACTTCTAAGCTCTAGTTTGAAGCCATATGTTCCAGTCGGGACGTGAAGGAATAAAATAGACAATAATGACAAGTGCAATTTCACTAGAGGTTGACCATGACATGTTCTAAGGTGAAGCAGGAAAAGATAAAGGAAACATAAAAATATAATATTACAGGTAGTATAAAATTGAGGTACTAAAACATGAGCAACACTTTTATCAGTTATAAATTTTATTACCTAGATCCACTAAATGTGTATCCTTTCTGTCACCTGCACTCCAGATAACCTACGCATCCCTTTTATTGTTCACACAAACTCAGTTTCTTCATGAACTGATGAATTGTAGATACTGCATTATCGTAACTCATCGTGACTTTCAGTAGTATAGCACCTTGATGTAATACGATGAGTACATATTTAAGACATGAATTAGCGATGACCTTATGAAAGGTGTAACTTGTGTAACCTAATACCGCGTCTAACTTCTATATTGATTGCTTAAAGGTTTTATGAACCATGGTCAGTAACTGGAATTTTTTCTAGACTCCAAATTTGACGGCCGCTTTTCATAATCATACACTGCTGTTACAAGACCTTTTGCGTTCTGCAGTTTGATGAAAAAGATTACTGCATCCGTACAAATTTTATAGGGAAGACAAAGAACAACTGGAATAAAGTCACAGTTAACATTCATTCTACTCAACAAAATCAAAAATAGTTAAGCTGAAATGTCGGCCAACCAAATATAATATTATAGTTCCGTAGTATCTGTCCAGTCAGCGACATGGTAACTTGGCCTGAATTTCACCCTCATAACTTTGCTGAGTTGTACAGCCGTTCAGGAAAAGTAGTTGAAGACATTTTTAGAGGAATATAAAAGTCGTTTTAAATTGATATATGTGTAAAACTTGGGCACTGTGGTAGTAAGTAATTCCATATTAGTTTGTTTATTAGATGTATCACAGTGAAACAGTATTATTTATTGGATGACAAAGTTTCGAACAAAATTTATTGTTCATGATCATATCAATTGTAATCACACTAGTTTGAAACTTGAGTTTTATAGTTTCCTTTGTCTTCTGCTATTTGTCGTAAGGGTAGTGGAATTTTCCAGATATCAGGGACAGGTGATGAATCATTCCTGTTACATGTATTTGCAGTTGATTCGATAAACAAAGCTTCTGTTATCAATCTCTCCCTATACCCCGTGACATTATATTTTAAAACTGTCATCCTATCCGATCCAATTGTATGGTTGTGTGTAACTGCATGTAGTGCTATAGATGAACTATTCTCTAGATTTCTTATCTTATTTGGGTCAACCAATCTAGATTTAGCTAGGTTTTTATGTTCGGCTAGTCTGACTGCCCCTGTTCTACTAGTTTGACCTATGTATTTGACCTGACAATCATTTCAGGCAGGGTATTAGATAAACTAAATTTTTTTGTTAACAAGGCAGGAATGAAAGTGGCATTCAAACCCACAAACTCAATTAGAAACAAACTTTGTCGGTTAAAGGATCCTGTGGAGCCTATGAAACAAAAAAGTTTAGTTTATCTAATACCCTGCCTGAAATGATTGTCAGGTCAAATACATAGGTCAAACTAGTAGAACAGGGGCAGTCAGACTAGCCGAACATAAAAACCTAGCTAAATCTAGATTGGTTGACCCAAATAAGATAAGAAATCTAGAGAATAGTTCATCTATAGCACTACATGCAGTTACACACAACCATACAATTGGATCGGATAGGATGACAGTTTTAAAATATAATGTCACGGGGTATAGGGAGAGATTGATAACAGAAGCTTTGTTTATCGAATCAACTGCAAATACATGTAACAGGAATGATTCATCACCTGTCCCTGATATCTGGAAAATTCCACTACCCTAACGACAAATAGCAGAAGACAAAGGAAACTATAAAACTCAAGTTTCAAACTAGTGTGAATACAATTCAAAGCAATTGGTTCCCTTTATGGATTCCGACAAAACAATAAGAAGGCGTAGTTTTTCTGAAACGTGTAATGTATTGGGGCATCACATTTCAGACATTCTGATCACACACGTACTTGTCATACACAGTTTTTATATAAGGCAAGAAAGCATGAATAATTACAATACAGGTCAGATTGTGTACAGGTCAAGGTCACAAATAATGGGTAGGGAGACGCAAAAGGTGTGGGTAAGAAAGATAAAGGGAGGAAAAAATGGCAAAGAAAGGGTTTGAAAATATTATGAAGTAAATTGGTCCTTGGTTCTAAGTTGGATTACCAAGGCAGGTTTAAGGTGATAACAAATAACTTTTGGACGCATAAGACAGGTTTAAGTCTTTTAATGGCTAAGGCTTCAATGAATTTAAGTATGTGACCCAACCTTGTCTTATATATCGGCTTAAAGGCATTATTAAAATCAACCTTATGACCCGTCTCTATAATATGCTTCGCTATAGATGATGTTGGACATCTATTTCCCGGGTCAATTGTATCTGGCGATTTCATTTGTTGTTGCAGCCACTTTGGAATGTGTTCTGTAGCCCTAACATGCAGAGACCGATGGGTCCTCCCTATGTACGTGTCTCCACACATACATGTGAATTGATAAACACAGTGGGATGTGACACTATCGTTCGGATAATGTGAGGGTTTACAGGACAGCATAGTTTTCGTTTTCTCTATGAAGATAAGTTTAGCTGCATAATAGGTTCTACTAATTGCGGCCTTTAGTCTTTGTCTAGTGACTAGACTTTGTTGATCACCTCTGAACGGCAAGGATATGTAAACATCCTTTTTGGGAACTGATTGGATTGGTAAAGCTGTGTGGTTGACACTTCCATAACGTCTAATAAATCTCAGTGGGTAATTGTTATCTAACAATATTTCAGTGAGATGTTGTCTTTCTTCTTCAATTGTATCGGCGGTACATATACGGTGAACGCGCTTGAACAAACACTTAACCAACGCCTTTTTATACTGTAGTGGACAGAAACTATAGTAATTTAGATACTGTCCAGTCCATGTTGACTTCCTGTAGACAGATCGTTTTATTGACCCATCTTCTCTGCGGGTTATGAGTACATCTAAAAATGGCAGGCATCCATTATTCTCTTTAACATAAGTTAGCGATATACTATTTTGTGCTCTGTTGACCTGGTTTAGGATTTCTATGGCGTCGATCGGTTGATCACAAATGACAATTATGTCATCTACATATCTTTTATAGAAATACACTTTTCCAATTTCTTTCTCCACTAGGTTCTCAACATGCGACATATATATGTCAGCTAACAATGGACCTAGGGGGCTTCCCATAGCAACACCATCGATCTGGCGATAATGCTCGCCCTCGAATGTAAACTTAACATTTTTAGTACAGAGAAGCAGTAACTCTTTTAAGTAAGATGTAGATACTGGTAATAAGAAATCGTTGTCAGAAATGAAGTCACATAAAATGTCAACCGTCTGTAAAAGAGGTACATTTGTAAATAAAGATTCGACATCTAGGGAAAACATGGTTTTGTCTTTTATATTAACGTTATCAAGACAATCAATTAACTCAAAAGTGTCTTTCAAAGAGAACTTACAGAAACTTCTTCTAACAGGCTCTAGTATTTCCACTAGCCACTGTGCAAGTTTGTGGGTTGGAGATCTGCACATTGACATTATGGGACGTAGAGGAATGTTAGGTTTGTGTGTTTTGGGTAGACCATACATGTGTGGTAATTGAGACTCTGTGGGCTTTAATGAATTGAATTTCTCTCTGTTAATTGCATTCATGTTTAAAAGTTTTACTAGATTATTTATCACCATATTTTGTACATTCTTAACATCCTCAGGACCGGAGTCTCATAAATTTTTCGTTGTTTCCAAGAATGCATAACATTTTACTTTTATATTCAATTTTGTCCATTATAACTACACCTGACCCTTTGTCTGGTCTGAGGATAACGATGTCAGTATTATGTTTGAGTTCTTTTAACGCTTTAAAATGCTCAGGTGTTAGGATGCTTTTCTGAAATGTACGACCGTTGCAAAATTGGTGAGCAATGTCCACTAACTTTGCTTTGAACCAACTGTGATGATCTTCAGAAACTGGTCATATAGATTTTCAAATTGTGCGTGTACTTCAAGTTCTGAGAAATACTTTTGAGGAACGCAAAATTTAAATCCAAGTGATAAGGCTTGTTCTTGTAACGATGAAAGAGTTATGGAAGATAGGTTGACAACGTATTTCTCTGGATTGACAGGGAAAGCAGTTACAAGTTTATTGTCATTGAGTGATTTGTCTAGCTTCTTACGCATGTTTGCTTTTGTTTTACCAGCGAGAGATGCACAGAAGGCAATGAATTTCATGTGACATATTAAAGATAATTCCGACAAAACGGATGAAGCAGATGTATAAATCAGCAATAATTGTTGCAGCTTTTCTTCTGCTTTTTCAATATGCGATTTGGCAAGGCGAATAAGGTTGGAATTATTTGGTTGCAGTTTACTTGATTTCAAAATTTTATAGAACTGTCTTGGGTAGGTGTGATTAGAAATACAGGATTTATAAAATTCCAGTCTTTCACGTTCAGAAATAATTTTGCACTTAAGGTTCACAAGATCATCCAGCTTCTTGATAGTGCAAGGAGGGAGTCTTCTCTTCAGAAATTTAAAGCAATTGGTTCCCTTTATGGATTTCGACAAAACAATAAGAAGGCGTAGTTTATCTGAAATGATATGATGATATGATTATGAACAATAAATTTTGTCCGAAACTTTTTCATCCAGTAAATAATAATGTTTCACTGTGTGATACATCTAATAAACAAACTAATATAGAATCGTTTTAAATTGGCCTATCTGCAAAGCCTTTGAGATATATGTATGCTTATCAAGAATCCAATATGTAACACGATGTTGTTTTTCACTGATTTGATGCATTATAAGTAAAGTTCAATAAAGGGAATAGTAAGGTTCTTGAAGGTACAAATATCAAAACACCATACACACACTAGGCGATGAGGCTGATTTCCCAACTAAGGAGTCCCGAATAGGTCAAAATGTGTATCACGGGTTTCACTGCTGGTTACAGCCAACCAAAATAATCGCATGTTAGTCTTCAGTCCGGCATAATCTACAGGAAATGCAAATTAACCTGATAAGAGCATCAGAAACATATGTCACCCAAAGGTTTTATCCTTAAATACCTGCGTTTCCACTTCGCGAATTTTTAGAGAAACAATCAGTATTTTGTAAATTGTCTTACAAGTTGTTTTATTTCATTTCTGTTTAGGTTGATCCTCGGATGTTCGCGACTCTTTCCAACTGGACTCGTGGAAATTGCATACGCCATGTCCTCTTGGATGTCCGTCGAAAAATGTCTGCTTCTGAAAATTCGAGACTTGCTCAACCTCCTGAAAATTCCACATTCTGAGCGATTTTCTTCTTGGTATGTTGCTCTCCAGATATAAGAATTATCAGCCAGGAGTGAATGTTTTTTTCTAAATTCATAGCTTTTATCTTAGGTCTTCATTTCGTTTTATTAAACCACCTGCTAAATTTTATTTCAACATTAATTTACTGGTCTTTCTTCAAATGGTTTTTCCTTTTTATGTATGTATTCTTGTGTAACTTCTAAACACTCCAAATTTATTGTGGATTGAATATAGTTGGATGAGGAAGTTCACAATATTTTTTATACCTTATAGACTTGTGGTTTTTACTTCCTTCCTGCCTTAACCATTGACTCAGTTAAGGCTGTTTGATAGCAGTAATAACTTTGCTGAATTGTACTCTCTGCTTATATAGTAGAAATTTTTATTTACGGTGGTCATTTGTTGCACCTATGCACCCACTGCTTCTTTGACATTACTAATTACAAATTGTGAATTTTTCCGGTTATGTATCTCTTGGTTCATTGACAATTTTGCCTGAATTCGGTTTTTTGAATAAAATCCTCTTTGTTGTGTTTAAATTATTTTTAAAAAATAAGCTTATTGCTTCATCTGTACGCCTTGTTGGTTGAATACTTATATCCGGGAAAACTGGTTACAGTTCTAATGTCATAAATATTCAGAGTTACTGTAACCAGTGATACGGACAATATAAAATTAGAACATGTCACACTACAACGTAGTGCTCGCAACCGTATTTCGCGACAGTATGTAGGAATACGGGTGGTGAACACGCGAAACGCAGTCCAACACACCCGGCGTAAATAAGAAGACAGTAAGATGTCAAGAATTCATAAATTCTTATTTGCTGAATTCACTTAAAAATATGGGATAGTAAACTGCTATTACCGCATCGGGTTACAAGTGGGACGCATTCCCGCATCTATCTTCATCCTCCTCCTGAGCCGGAAATACATTCCTCAAAAATATACAAAATTATCCAGAATACAGACAACGGCAGTCTTCATGGATATGACAATCACCAATTGGGAAAGATGAGTAGGACACAACAAATCGTCTCGATGGCGTTCATTCCCCAGAATACTAGATTTCTTATTGTGACTCCCTTTAGTTCCGAGTGGAAGATAGAGCTTCAACAGCACGTCTCTATTTTCTCTTGTTCTCTGCAGTCCTCTCCATCCGGCCGCATGATCGTCTATAGGCTTTCATCTCTTTCTCACACGATTTCACCTATGTCATCCTTGTATGCCCAACTCGTCGCTTCTTGTTCGGGTTCCACTCGAGGGCCTGGCGCGCAATGTCAGCCGACGGTCTCCTCAGTGTGTCCAACCCACTCCCATTTTCTTCGGTATGTTGTTCGTGTATGGGCCCCTGGTTGGTTCCCAGAGTTCCTTGTTGTCAGTCCTGTGTGACCGTCTGATCTTCAGTATGGAGCGAAGTCATCTGTTGACAAAAGTCTGCAGCAGGCTGTTGGGAACGCTCTTCACGACGCACCAAGCTTCTGATCCATATAGAAGAACTGACTTAACATTGGTGTTGAAAATTTGAACCTTGTTCTTTATGCCGAATGCAGAAGTGATGAAGGTTTGCCTCGCCTTTCTGATCTTGACATTCTCATCCGTGCCGCCTGTAGTTGAAATGATGTTACCCAGATAAGTGAAGGAAACAGCCCCTTGCAAACTTATCTCATTGGTAATGATCGGTGCTTGTTGTTGTTGGTTGGTTACCTTCATCACCCTCGTCTTCTCTATGTTCACTTGAAGTCCTGTCTCTGCTGCTGCTTCTGCCAACTTTTTGGTTTCCACCTGTAAGTCTTCGGATTTATGTGACGTTAGACATAAATCGTTCGCGAAGTCCATATATTCTAGAATCTCCTTATCTGTCTGACGTATTCCTGTCGGCTCGCCTCCCACAGTCTGATGCATAATCCAATCCACCACAATCAGGAGTATCATCGGTGATAGTAGGCAATCTTGTCTTACTCCCGCCTTACTTCAAAGGCCTTGCTGAGTTTTTCATTGTGGACCACTTGATATGCAGCATTTTCATATAGCTATTGAATGAGGTTGGCAAAGATTTGGGGCACTCTGTAGTTAAATTCGCGGTCAACGCCATTGCAGGCCTTTTAAAGTCGATGAAGTTGAGGTAGAGGTATGAATGCCATTCTATGCTCCGTTCGATGATGATTTGTAGAGTTGCAATTTGATGAGCACATGATTTGCTTTTCCTGAATCTAGCTCGATGCAGGGGAAGTGCTGTATCTGGTGCATCTTTCAGCCTCTCCACTATGACACAACTTAGTATTTTGTTAGGATAAACTGAGAGAAAAATACCCAGTAACCTCGGGAATGTCACATGTGACTTGCGTATTTCACAGGTTTGGATAATCACATTATTCGGAGAATCTGTTTGGACCATTAGCCTCTGTGAAAATTGTAACAGTGGATTAGTCGAGAAGAAAAGCAAAGCTTTAGCGACGAACAGTTAGGGAATCTCCATCTTCTCGAAACTTAGGACGAACAGCCCTTGGTTTGTGCTGGGCGGATGAACTAGCTTTTGTAGTCGGAAACTGCGGTGAATTTGACGTCGAGAGCGTTCAGCAGGATGGATTCCAGTCTGTAGTTTGCTTTCCGAAATTCTAGTGTTTATGCAACAGCTAATAGTGTACGATTCCACATTTATTTAAAAACACCACATAAAAGCAATTTATTGAGAGGAAATAGTTGACATTAGTCTTTTAACATAAGAACTACCAGCAGATACAGATATATGGACCTCACATACACAGTAGTGTAATTGTGCGAGTGATGTTTTAACCTACTGCTGTATGACACGCCTATTTTTTGTGCTAAGCGCTAGGTTTCCAAAGAAATAACTTTTATCTACGTTTCTTTTCAACAAATAGAAGAACTCTTTACTATAATACGTACGCAGTTCAAACGAACAGGTAGAAACGTAATATTTCTTGGGGATGTATGGACTAAGTCATAGTGCGACGCGAACTTCCGCATATATCTCATATTAGTTGAAGTAAATTTACAGTAATTCAGAACTACGTGCCGTAAGCACTGTCTTATTGTCGATGAATGTTTTGTGTAGCTAGAAAGAACCTAGCATATACTGAGGCAATGCTGATGGCACATAAACAATAACACTCCATGCCCAATTAATGCAGTATGCGCTCAGCCACAGCTAAAATAACGCCGAAAAATAAACCCTGTAGGCTTTGAACAACTGCTGATATTATGGGAAAGAAGCACAAAATGTCGAATTAGTGCCAGTCATGTTCAAAAACAGTACATATTGCTACTTTCTGTGGAATATCAAGCCACTTAGGAATTCGCGGGCTTTAAGGTCAGCGCTACTGTTAGCTAGGGGAGCAACAGTTTGAGCTTACATTAAAGGATATTCAACAATAAAAGCGTCACTAATAGAACTTACTCTCACCATAGTGTAACTTAGTTTGATGAAGTCACACTATTAATTACTAATAGTGCGTCCAGCATGTTCTATTGGGACGCCTTGGCATGAGTGTGTATAACAGACTGCTCAAAACGTCATCACATCATACTACCACTGTGATTTTCTCAAAAAACTACCTGATGATGGAATTATACTGACACGGTGCTCATGCTCCAATCGTTTATGAATAAACTTACTTTCCTCAATCAGAAACTCCATACAGTCTCTCGCTCAGGAAGTACGTACGGACATAGATGGTACACTTACGATAAACAAGTCCTCGGGCGATATCCTAATAGTGATAAACTTCACAGGTTTCCTAGCTCGGATAAGCAGTTCAAGACAAGAGATAGGATATATTCAGTGCAATCCCAACATTTCGACTTTGGTCACAGACATTAGCTTGGTCACGGGACACGACTTCGACCGACAGCTTGACTCATCGAGTACCCATATCTTCCACCTCACTCGCTTGGTCTTTGGTGGAGTTTTAGCCTTAAGGTTCCTCCGATACCTGAAGCGGGTCGATATACGTAACCAAACAATGAAGCTGCTCCCTATCCACGAGCTGCAAAGAAAACAGACGTCGGCCTGCTGCATCTATTCCGCCAGGGAGAGCGGCTAGCGCTATATTTCCACAAGATTAGTAAAAGTTATGCACTTTCAGCATATCTGCACAGTCGGTCGACACATGACGCGCAGACGAGATGATAGTTTAACGAACCAAACTCATTCACGTCTCGAAACTAAATTCAACACTCCTCAGTCTCCACTGCAATAGTCATCATAAGGCGAATGAATCTAATTTAAAAATTTATTTAAGTAAACATTCAAGCTCTCTCTCCACGAATACGTCGAGCCAGCTGGATATCCTTTGGCATTATGGTGACACGTTTGGCATGGATTGCACACAAATTAGTATCTTCAAAAAGACCAACAAGGTAAGCTTCACTAGCTTCTTGAAGTGCACCCACTGCAGCGCTCTGGAAGCGTAGATCAGTTTTGAAATCCTGGGCTATTTCACGGACCAATCTTTGGAAAGGCAACTTTCTGATGAGTAGTTCTGTAGATTTCTGATAACGCCGAATCTCTCTCAGGGCAACAGTACCAGGTCGGTACCGATGAGGCTTCTTGACACCACCAGTAGATGGTGCAGACTTACGGGCAGCTTTAGTTGCAAGCTGCTTCCGCGGTGCTTTTCCGCCTGTCGACTTCCTTGCAGTTTGCTTTGTCCTGGCCATCCTTCCGAAGTAAAACCCGAATCAAAATGGTGGGTGTTACTTAACCAGTAAAACAAAGAAGCATGATCATTTCACCGATTTCGAGGACCATTTCAAGCCCAATAACATTATATAGACTTATTCTCCCTTATCAACAGTTTATATATTACGCACTTTATACGTTTGTGAATGAAGGGAATTTCAACTAAATTTCCAGTATTCTAACGTCGCCTGGTTTACTGATCCGTTAGTTTTCTATCCGGTCCTAAGCCCGGGAAAAAAGTAATGTAGGACTGGGAACTTTACACTGAAAGACCAATCCAATCACCACAGAAACATTAAGGCACAACTAAAACATAAAAGACGAACTTATTCTTCACTTGAATCAGAGAGAGGGAATGACGCAGGCTGGTGAAAGCCTTCGGAAAGTCAGTCCATCGATGAGTCTTCTCTCGGGGAAAACAAAATAAGCATTTGGAATGTCCGTTGAACTTACAAAGCTGGGCAGGCTGTACATGTTATCAAAGAAATCAGAAGATACGGCATAGAAGTGCTGGGAATCTGCAGGAATAAATGGAGTATATGGGGACTCTCCGAATTGTTAACCAGAGAATCAGTAATCTATTCTGGTCACCCAGACAACAGTTACGAACACACTGTGAGTGTGGCTTTCGTTATGTTAGCAACAGCATTCAATGCCCTTATGCAGTGGTAACCATTCTTCTCTAGTGAGATGAATGAACTTGGATTTTGGTCTATCTTCGCTTGCTTTGAATGCTTTCAGCTTGAACATGAAGCCTCCTAGCAGTACATAATGGAACGAGCCCACATAAGCTTCCCTTCTCGACTTTCCTGAGATTAAGGAGTGGTCGGTCAAGCATTTGATGTGCCTGTCAAATAAGGCTCTTGCAGCTGTTTATATACCCTTATGCTTGGAAGCTCTACTTCCAATCACTAAATCACTGAATGCACAGAAGTCTGCGAAGAGTTCTCCGCTCTCATTCATTTCACTCAGGGCCTCTCGTGATGATTCGGCCCTCTGTATTGTATTCTCTCAGTTTGGCATACATGTCATCCACTAAGATTGTGACATCGCCATTAGGGCGTTATCTACTACTTTTTTGCAGTTTTCTTTAGAAATCTTGCTGTGATTTGCTCGTAGGTGCATGGATTTAGGTAACTGGAGCTTCCCTTTCTTTTGAGTAGAATTGTGCCTTCATTATTCTAGAGGAGAATGGTTACCACTGCATAAGGGCATTGAATGCTGTTGCTAACATAACGAAAGCCACACTCACAGTGTGTTCGTAACTGTTGTCTGGGTGACCAGAATAGATTACTGATTCTCTGGTTAACAATTCGGAGAGTCCCCATATACTCCATTTATTCCTGCAGATTCCCAGCACTTCTATGCCGTATCTTCTGATTTCTTTGATAACATGTACAGCCTGCCCAGCTTTGTAAGTTCAACGGACATTCCAAATGCTTATTTTGTTTTCCCCGAGAGAAGACTCATCGATGGACTGACTTTCCGAAGGCTTTCACCAGCCTGCGTCATTCCCTCTCTCTGATTCAAGTGAAGAATAAGTTCGTCTTTTATGTTTTAGTTGTGCCTTAATGTTTCTGTGGTGATTGGATTGGTCTTTCAGTGTAAAGTTCCCAGTCCTACATTACTTTTTTCCGGGCTTAGGACCGGATAGAAAACTAACGGATCAGTAAACCAGGCGACGTTAGAATACTGGAAATTTAGTTGAAATTCCCTTCATTCACAAACGTATAAAGTGCGTAATATATAAACTGTTGATAAGGGAGAATAAGTCTATATAATGTTATTGGGCTTGAAATGGTCCTCGAAATCGGTGAAATGATCATGCTTCTTTGTTTTACTGGTTAAGTAACACCCACCATTTTGATTCGGGTTTTACTTCGGAAGGATGGCCAGGACAAAGCAAACTGCAAGGAAGTCGACAGGCGGAAAAGCACCGCGGAAGCAGCTTGCAACTAAAGCTGCCCGTAAGTCTGCACCATCTACTGGTGGTGTCAAGAAGCCTCATCGGTACCGACCTGGTACTGTTGCCCTGAGAGAGATTCGGCGTTATCAGAAATCTACAGAACTACTCATCAGAAAGTTGCCTTTCCAAAGATTGGTCCGTGAAATAGCCCAGGATTTCAAAACTGATCTACGCTTCCAGAGCGCTGCAGTGGGTGCACTTCAAGAAGCTAGTGAAGCTTACCTTGTTGGTCTTTTTGAAGATACTAATTTGTGTGCAATCCATGCCAAACGTGTCACCATAATGCCAAAGGATATCCAGCTGGCTCGACGTATTCGTGGAGAGAGAGCTTGAATGTTTACTTAAATAAATTTTTAAATTAGATTCATTCGCCTTATGATGACTATTGCAGTGGAGACTGAGGAGTGTTGAATTTAGTTTCGAGACGTGAATGAGTTTGGTTCGTTAAACTATCATCTCGTCTGCGCGTCATGTGTCGACCGACTGTGCAGATATGCTGAAAGTGCATAACTTTTACTAATCTTGTGGAAATATAGCGCTAGCCGCTCTCCCTGGCGGAATAGATGCAGCAGGCCGACGTCTGTTTTCTTTGCAGCTCGTGGATAGGGAGCAGCTTCATTGTTTGGTTACGTATATCGACCCGCTTCAGGTATCGGAGGAACCTTAAGGCTAAAACTCCACCAAAGACCAAGCGAGTGAGGTGGAAGATATGGGTACTCGATGAGTCAAGCTGTCGGTCGAAGTCGTGTCCCGTGACCAAGCTAATGTCTGTGACCAAAGTCGAAATGTTGGGATTGCACTGAATATATCCTATCTCTTGTCTTGAACTGCTTATCCGAGCTAGGAAACCTGTGAAGTTTATCACTATTAGGATATCGCCCGAGGACTTGTTTATCGTAAGTGTACCATCTATGTCCGTACGTACTTCCTGAGCGAGAGACTGTATGGAGTTTCTGATTGAGGAAAGTAAGTTTATTCATAAACGATTGGAGCATGAGCACCGTGTCAGTATAATTCCATCATCAGGTAGTTTTTTGAGAAAATCACAGTGGTAGTATGATGTGATGACGTTTTGAGCAGTCTGTTATACACACTCATGCCAAGGCGTCCCAATAGAACATGCTGGACGCACTATTAGTAATTAATAGTGTGACTTCATCAAACTAAGTTACACTATGGTGAGAGTAAGTTCTATTAGTGACGCTTTTATTGTTGAATATCCTTTAATGTAAGCTCAAACTGTTGCTCCCCTAGCTAACAGTAGCGCTGACCTTAAAGCCCGCGAATTCCTAAGTGGCTTGATATTCCACAGAAAGTAGCAATATGTACTGTTTTTGAACATGACTGGCACTAATTCGACATTTTGTGCTTCTTTCCCATAATATCAGCAGTTGTTCAAAGCCTACAGGGTTTATTTTTCGGCGTTATTTTAGCTGTGGCTGAGCGCATACTGCATTAATTGGGCATGGAGTGTTATTGTTTATGTGCCATCAGCATTGCCTCAGTATATGCTAGGTTCTTTCTAGCTACACAAAACATTCATCGACAATAAGACAGTGCTTACGGCACGTAGTTCTGAATTACTGTAAATTTACTTCAACTAATATGAGATATATGCGGAAGTTCGCGTCGCACTATGACTTAGTCCATACATCCCCAAGAAATATTACGTTTCTACCTGTTCGTTTGAACTGCGTACGTATTATAGTAAAGAGTTCTTCTATTTGTTGAAAAGAAACGTAGATAAAAGTTATTTCTTTGGAAACCTAGCGCTTAGCACAAAAAATAGGCGTGTCATACAGCAGTAGGTTAAAACATCACTCGCACAATTACACTACTGTGTATGTGAGGTCCATATATCTGTATCTGCTGGTAGTTCTTATGTTAAAAGACTAATGTCAACTATTTCCTCTCAATAAATTGCTTTTATGTGGTGTTTTTAAATAAATGTGGAATCGTACACTATTAGCTGTTGCATAAACACTAGAATTTCGGAAAGCAAACTACAGACTGGAATCCATCCTGCTGAACGCTCTCGACGTCAAATTCACCGCAGTTTCCGACTACAAAAGCTAGTTCATCCGCCCAGCACAAACCAAGGGCTGTTCGTCCTAAGTTTCGAGAAGATGGAGATTCCCTAACTGTTCGTCGCTAAAGCTTTGCTTTTCTTCTCGACTAATCCACTGTTACAATTTTCACAGAGGCTAATGGTCCAAACAGATTCTCCGAATAATGTGATTATCCAAACCTGTGAAATACGCAAGTCACATGTGACATTCCCGAGGTTACTGGGTATTTTTCTCTCAGTTTATCCTAACAAAATACTAAGTTGTGTCATAGTGGAGAGGCTGAAAGATGCACCAGATACAGCACTTCCCCTGCATCGAGCTAGATTCAGGAAAAGCAAATCATGTGCTCATCAAATTGCAACTCTACAAATCATCATCGAACGGAGCATAGAATGGCATTCATACCTCTACCTCAACTTCATCGACTTTAAAAGGCCTGCAATGGCGTTGACCGCGAATTTAACTACAGAGTGCCCCAAATCTTTGCCAACCTCATTCAATAGCTATATGAAAATGCTGCATATCAAGTGGTCCACAATGAAAAACTCAGCAAGGCCTTTGAAGTAAGGCGGGAGTAAGACAAGATTGCCTACTATCACCGATGATACTCCTGATTGTGGTGGATTGGATTATGCATCAGACTGTGGGAGGCGAGCCGACAGGAATACGTCAGACAGATAAGGAGATTCTAGAATATATGGACTTCGCGAACGATTTATGTCTAACGTCACATAAATCCGAAGACTTACAGGTGGAAACCAAAAAGTTGGCAGAAGCAGCAGCAGAGACAGGACTTCAAGTGAACATAGAGAAGACGAGGGTGATGAAGGTAACCAACCAACAACAACAAGCACCGATCATTACCAATGAGATAAGTTTGCAAGGGGCTGTTTCCTTCACTTATCTGGGTAACATCATTTCAACTACAGGCGGCACGGATGAGAATGTCAAGATCAGAAAGGCGAGGCAAACCTTCATCACTTCTGCATTCGGCATAAAGAACAAGGTTCAAATTTTCAACACCAATGTTAAGTCAGTTCTTCTATATGGATCAGAAGCTTGGTGCGTCATGAAGAGCGTTCCCAACAGCCTGCTGCAGACTTTTGTCAACAGATGACTTCGCTCCATACTGAAGATCAGACGGTCACACAGGACTGACAACAAGGAACTCTGGGAACCAACCAGGGGCCCATACACGAACAACATACCGAAGAAAATGGGAGTGGGTTGGACACACTGAGGAGACCGTCGGCTGACATTGCGCGCCAGGCCCTCGAGTGGAACCCGAACAAGAAGCGACGAGTTGGGCATACAAGGATGACATAGGTGAAATCGTGTGAGAAAGAGATGAAAGCCTATAGACGATCATGCGGCCGGATGGAGAGGACTGCAGAGAACAAGAGAAAATAGAGACGTGCTGTTGAAGCTCTATCTTCCACTCGGAACTAAAGGGAGTCACAATAAGAAATCTAGTATTCTGGGGAATGAACGCCATCGAGACGATTTGTTGTGTCCTACTCATCTTTCCCAATTGGTGATTGTCATATCCATGAAGACTGCCGTTGTCTGTATTCTGGATAATTTTGTATATTTTTGAGGAATGTATTTCCGGCTCAGGAGGAGGATGAAGATAGATGCGGGAATGCGTCCCACTTGTAACCCGATGCGGTAATAGCAGTTTACTATCCCATATTTTTAAGTGAATTCAGCAAATAAGAATTTATGAATTCTTGACATCTTACTGTCTTCTTATTTACGCCGGGTGTGTTGGACTGCGTTTCGCGTGTTCACCACCCGTATTCCTACATACTGTCGCGAAATACGGTTGCGAGCACTACGTTGTAGTGTGACATGTTCTAATTTTATATTGTCCGTATCACTGGTTACAGTAACTCTGAATATTTATGACATTAGAACTGTAACCAGTTTTCCCGGATATAAGTATTCAACCAACAAGGCGTACAGATGAAGCAATAAGCTTATTTTTTAAAAATAATTTAAACACAACAAAGAGGATTTTATTCAAAAAACCGAATTCAGGCAAAATTGTCAATGAACCAAGAGATACATAACCGGAAAAATTCACAATTTGTAATTAGTAATGTCAAAGAAGCAGTGGGTGCATAGGTGCAACAAATGACCACCGTAAATAAAAATTTCTACTATATAAGCAGAGAGTACAATTCAGCAAAGTTATTACTGCTATCAAACAGCCTTAACTGAGTCAATGGTTAAGGCAGGAAGGAAGTAAAAACCACAAGTCTATAAGGTATAAAAAATATTGTGAACTTCCTCATCCAACTATATTCAATCCACAATAAATTTGGAGTGTTTAGAAGTTACACAAGAATACATACATAAAAAGGAAAAACCATTTGAAGAAAGACCAGTAAATTAATGTTGAAATAAAATTTAGCAGGTGGTTTAATAAAACGAAATGAAGACCTAAGATAAAAGCTATGAATTTAGAAAAAAACATTCACTCCTGGCTGATAATTCTTATATCTGGAGAGCAACATACCTTCAGTGCAAAATTATTGCGGAACGTGAAAGACTGGAATTTTATAAATCATGTATTTCTAATCACATCTATCCAAGACATTTCTATAAAATTTTGAAATCAGGTAAACTGCAACCAAATAATTCCAACGTTATTCGCCTTGCCAAATTGCATATTGAAAAAGCAGAAGAAAAGCTGCAACAACTATTGCTGATTTATACATCTGCTTCATCTGTTTTGTCAGAATTATCTTTAATATGTCACATTAAATTCATTGCCTTCTGCGCATCTCTCGCTGGTAAAACAAGAGCAAACATGCGTAAGAAGCTAGACAAATCACTTAATCACAATAAACTTGTAACTGCTTTCCCTGTCAATCCAGAGAAATACGTTGTCAACCTATCTTCCATAACTTTTTCATCATTACAAGAACAAGCCTTATCACTTGGATTTAAATTTTGCGTTCCCCAAAAGTATTTCTCAGAAATCGAAGTACACGCACAATTTGAAAATCTATATGACCAGTTTCTGAAGATCATCACAGCTGGTTCGAAGCAAAGTTAGTGGACATTGCTCACCAATTTTGCAATAGTCGTAGATTTCAGAAAAGTATCCTAACACCTGAGCACTTTAAAACGTTAAAAGAACTCAAACATAATGCTGACATCGTTATTCTCAGACCAGATAAAGGGTCAGGTGTAGTTATAATGGACAAAATTGAATATAAAAGCAAAATGTTATGCATTCTTGGAAACAACGATAACTTTATGAGACTCCGGTCCTGAGGATGTTAAGAA